GAACCAAAAATTGTTGAGGAACCATAAGAAAATCTTTATTTTAACAATTTGTTAAGAGTTCATATTCAGACAGCAATACCATGCATGACTTGATCTTCCTGTGTTAACCCAGGGGGCCATGTGGCAGGCTCTGCCACCGCGTCTACACAGCATGACCAACTGGCACACTCATTGTCCTCTGCCTCCTAAGAGCACACATGACTCAGCTGTGGGACATTCTAGAAGTGGCACACACATTGCGAAAACAGCCTGACTGTGCAGTAGCTCTTTTATCTATGACATGCAGAAAATAGCCAAGGAGGGTTCCCGTCCACCTGGGATCTGCAGTTTTCTAAGTTTGCTCTTATACAAATCTTACACACACTGAGAGAGCTGCTAGGCCCAGCCATCACCCAATATGTCACATTAATAAAAACAACAAGCACGCAAGCGTTACTTTACCTAAACACTTGAAAACCGAGTGAATTCTAGGGCACAACTTGCTCCCACTATTTTATTTTAGTTTATTTAGATTTTATTTATTTGAGAGAGCATAAGTGGGGGAGGGGCAGCGGGAGAGGCAGACACCCCGTTGAGCAGGCCCGCAGGATTATGACCTGAGCATCATGACCTGAGCCAAAGGCAGACCCTTAACCGACTGAGCCACCCAGATGCCCCCCAGTATTTTATTTTTAAAATGCTATTGGACACCCATAGCAGTTTTAATATAAGAAAATTTTGACTCAAATGTTAGCTCTGAAGAGATCAGATACTACTTTATGCAAAGCTTTTAAGTCACAAAAAGTTATGACATGGTAATAACGTAGCAGTCCTTTCCCATTACCCCTAAATCGTATGGTGTTACTCTAAACTGTTGTATCGGGTAGCCTGTTTCTTCTGCCCCTAGTGTTATGGTGTACCTGTTGTCACATGTTCTTCCTGCCTTCTTCACCTGCCTCTGCATCCTCCAACTGGCCCCCTCCCGTGTTTGACCACACCGGTCTTCAAAGCACGGCGAGGCCGATAAGCCCCTGTAGCCCTTCTTAGCTCTATTACAATATTATATTCCTTAGATTTTTGTGTATCACGTATGTGGCATTATAATGCACTTTTTGGAGCCAGGGTAATAAATACTTGACATGTTCATGTTCTCCAAAGAGCTTAAGGAAATGCTGATACAAAGTGGGAGCTTCAGAAATATGTGATGATTAAATAATCCCTACAGGGAAAAAAGAGTTCATATACAGCTTTGACCTTCACAACTAAACAGTGGTCCCCACATGTTTGTGAACAGGTGAAAATCTGCATGCACATGTTCATTTGAGGAGTTTACTAAGAGCAGAGTAACATTCCCAAGGAAGGGGATGGGGGGGTGGAATGATAGGACCTGGGAATCCAAATTTTAAGAAACTGCACAACTAACTTTGAAATGCAATGAAAAAAAGCTCATTGCTAGTTGCTAATCCAGTATCTATTTACATCTCCCTAACTAAAAATGTATTTTCTTTTCTTTTTTTCTTTTTCTAAGATTGTATTTATTTATTTGACAGAGACACAGAAGAGAGGGAACACAAGCAGGGGGAGTGGGAGAGGGAGAAGCAGGCTTCCTGTGGAGCAGGGAGCCCGATGCGGGGCTCAATCCCAGGACCCTGGGATCATGACCTGAGCTGAAGGCAGACACTTAATGACTGATCCACCCAGGCACCCCTAAAAACTTGTTTCCTACAGGGCATAATGTACCCAGCTACAAACTACATTTCCCAGACTTGCAGCTAGAGTGGCTATCAGACATCTTTGACCGATAGGCTATAAGTAGAGGTCGCTGGGTGTGATCCTCTGGGAAAACTTTTTTTTTTTAAAGATTTTATTAATTTATTTGAGAGAGAGTACAAGCGGGGGAGGAGAGGGGCAGAGGGAGAGGGGGAGAGAGAGAATCCCAAGCAGACTCCACAATGAGCACAGAACCTGACTCGGGGCCCAATCTCACGACCCTGAGATCACCACCCTAGCCGAAATCAAGAGTTGGATGCCCAACTGACTGAGCCACCCAGGCACCCCACCTCTGGGAAAACTCTTAAAAGTTGATCAAACTCAGCCAGCACCAGCTCTTTGCCTTCTGCCTTTCCCCTTCTTCCTGCCTGGGAACTGTAGACCCCGTGTTAGAAGTAAGCATCCATCCTTCAGCTATCAGGTGATGAGCATGAGGATGAAAGCCACACACTGAGGATGAATGGCTACGTGAGAAAAAGAAGGAATGTGGCTCTCTGAACCATCATGGAACCCTAGTACCAGGCCTGAATGGCTCACTTCCAGATTTCTTATTCCTTAAGAAAAATTCAAGTCCTATTTGGGTAAGCTACTATAAGTTGGGTTTTCTATTACTTGGGCAAATGCAATTCCAACTGATACAATAGTTATAGAATTACAACAGAATAAGAAATGAGAGGGCTCCATGTAGGACCTGTGAAAGAACAACGTGGAGTCCATCACACAAACCGGATAATGAACAAAAGCCAGGGAGAGCTAAAAGATACAATGAACACACTCGCCTCTGTCAACAACAAAAAGAAAAGCAAGTAAAAGCTCCAGAAAAAACATAAAGTCAACTTTTGTTGAAGTAAACAAAAACATGCCATGATTTTTTGAGCAAATGGTGGAGAATTTTGACCTTGATATTTGGGACATTATTTTTTTTTTAAAGATTTTTTATTTATTCATTAGAGAGAGAGCACGAGCGTGGGGGAGGTCAGAGGGAGAAGCAGACTCCCTGATGTGGAGCTCGATCCCAGGACCCCGGGATCATGACTTGAGCCGAAGGCAGATGTTTAACCGACTGAGCCACCCGGGCGCCCCCGGGACATTCTTTTTAAGTGGTCAAGTGTAGGGACCAACAATAACATTTACTTTTCTATACACCCAATAATTCCACATGGTTCTATGGTGAATATCATAATATTTTAAGAAATAATGGTAGTATTTTAATACTGTTACTTTTCAACATTTAGATATAATCCATAGACAAGGAACTGAATTTATATTTATAGAATGTTAATGCCCCAAACCTTGACAATATAAATTTGGACTGGGGGGGGGAAGCAGAGGAGAGGGGTTGGTATAAGTGCCCTCATCTCCCCATCTTTTTTTTTTTTTTTTTTAAGATTTTATTTATCTGACAGACACAGCGAGAGAGGGAACACAAGCAGGGGGAGTGGGAGAGGGAGAAGCAGGTTCCCCGCTGAGCAGGGAGCCACATGTGGGGCCCAATCCCAGGACCCCAGGATCATGACCTGAGCCGATCCCCAAGACACTTGACTACTGAGCCACCCAGGTGCCCCTCCCCATCTTATATAGTGTAGAGTCCCTGGAAACTTCTTAACATTGATGGATCAAAAATGGAGGTCTGGGTGTATCATATGAAGTTATGTGAGTAAATACTAGAAGAACTAAAAATAATAAAAGCAACAAAAATTGAGAAGTATTGGGCAAGGGAGGTGAGAGGCAGATCAGTGTGCTAAATTCCTTATCTTTTCATAGCAGAATAACATGTACTAACTGAAGCTCATAAAATGAGGTAAGTATATGAGTTATAGTGTTATCGTCAAAGCCTAAAATAGAACTTGGTAACAGTGGCTTTCTCTGGGTTATGGCCTTGACCATTTTGGGGGAGGAGGGAGAAGAGAGCTTTTTTGCACTTGATATCTTCCTGTACTATTGAAATTATATTGATTTCCGTGTGTGCATTGTTTTCATAATTACAATATAGCATGTTTTTATTTTTAAAACCTTTTTTTTTTTTTTAAGATTTTATTTATTTATTTGCGAGAGAGACAATGAGAGACAGAG